AATAGTTGGAAGGCGAAAGGGGTTCTCATCTTCTCAAATGAGTTTGGTTCCAGATGCGTCTCGGTCAAATTGGGCATAACTTTCAGTGTCCTAACACTTCTGTCTAGAAGGTACGCCTCCCGAACCGGATGCACAGACACCTAGAAATATAGGTTGAGGTAATGCAATGTATGCAAAAAACACAATCTTTGTAAAATGTCAACCATGAATCTATACGTACCAATCCGTCTGGTGTTGCAAAGCCTTTCTGGAGAAGACCATTCCTGAGGCATTTTAGCAGATGCGGGAAATCGGAGATAAAGTGCAATTTCCTCATCTCGTCGACAGGATGCTGTATGGCGCCATTTATTTTCTTCGATGACGCCGACACCCCCGCTAGCTTCCACATTTTTCGATTCCAGGGGGCTCCGTCACAAGTGATGTGGTCGACGAACAAGCCCGCCTGTTCCACGAGGATGGTAGCTTCCATGAGAATTTTCAATAAAATGTCTCCTCTCACATTTCCTTTTGTCGCAAAAACGCCCACAATTTGGCTCCATTTTCCAGCGAAAGGCACAAACATGATGACCATGCCGTGATCACATTGCTGGTACTTGTCTTCGGGCTTCGTAAATTCTCCAAGGTCCACGAAGCCTTGAATCTGGCCAGACGCCGTCACATTGAAATGTTCTGACAATTTCATTTCGTCCACCAATAGTCCGCCGTGTCTTTCGAGGTCTGACATGCTCGCGGTTTTTTTCTTTAGAGTGTTCATTACTGCTTGATTAAAACCGAAGGCCGACTCGTATGACCTCAAGTATCTTTTCAAAGTAGTGTTGCTGGGCATCATGAGAATTTCGTTCTTTCTGATGTGCTGATAAAGCCGGGGACTCTTTAGTTTCATGAGTAAACACTCGAGGATCCACTCCTGATTGTAGCGCATGCCCTGCTTGCTGGTTTGTTTGGCAGCTTGAAAGCAAGCGCGAACACTTGCCTGCTGCTTTCGCGGTAGTGACGATATTTTATCCTCTAGTATTTTATCCGCGACATTCGCATTGTTTGCCCTCATCTCTTCGAGACGACCAGCAATGTCCAACAGCCTTGTCGCCATCCGCTTGTTTCTCTGACTCAGGACCCGCAGTTTGGTGGAGACTGAGTTTCTTCGCTCTTTTCGTTTTAGGTAGCTTTTTCTGGTGAGTATTACTTTCCTCACGTACTTGCATGAAATGCATGAAGAACCTGGAAGTATACGAGAAAAAAATTATGAAGAGCTTCCAGTTTTTTACCATGCATGTTTGAAACGCAATTTATGCACTTTCACTTTCTGTAGGCAAACTATTCTTTCGTAAATGTTAATGAGTACTACAAAAATTAGGGGCCACACAAATGTTCTAGCATTAAACAGGTTACTGATTGATTAATTGTACAATTACAAGTGACGTCTCAATAAACGTTTGCCGCACTCACCTTGTTGTTTAACCGCTCCTTTGCACGTGACACTGAAGACAAGGCCGTCGGAATGAGAGATTTGCTGCTCCAGTTTCTTCGTAAGAACGTCATAGGTGAAGTCCTTCGCCCTACCTGCTCCTCTGCAAGGGTGAAGAGATTCTGCGCAGTCCAGGACTTGTTTGGCATCTTCAAGGTTATAGGCGACCTTTTCGGAGATCAGCGTCTTCCGAACATATGTCCGACAAATCACTTCACTCCGGTCGGTACCGTAATTCATGAGCACAGTCTTTTCGATGCTTACGAGTTCACGACTTAGGGAGGCCGAAACATAAGCAATTCCGTCATAATGACGAAACTTGTGCATTGCCCAGTGGTCGTTTGGCCGGACAACGTCTTCAAGTTCAAATGCGTTGTCGCTTTGCCTCGCACTTTCGCAATCTTCAAATCTCAGTTGCGGCTCAACTGATTGCAGCGCAGTTCTTTTTGACGGCTGGTCTTCACAGGTTGGTGGTGAAGCCGCTCTCTTCTTCGTTGACTGCTCCGGTGTGGGCTGCTCGTCAGGACACTTCAGGAGATGAGGTATAATTATGGGTACAGCATCACTGCGAAGTTCCGGCTTTCCCCGCTCTATATATACTTCTCGGCCTTCGATAATATGTACATATTGCCTTAGTATGTATTTTTGCTCGAAGTGCAGCTCGCAAATGGCATCGGTGACTTGCAAGGGCCGATCAGCGCGGTTGAGATTCTGGTCCCATAGCCGGCGTCTTTCTTCGTCTTGAGGTACTCCAAAGAGTGAGAGCTTGGGCTGGTTTTTAACTCTGCTGTATCCGGTTTGGCAGCCTACGACACAACAGTAATTTCTACGCCTAGACGTGCTCATCCTCTAATCTTTTGAAGCAGCTTGGAACGCTCCGTTATGCAACCAGCAGACACATATCTGCGCACGCAAACGTGCCGTCTGCCGCGTATTCTTTGTCCAGACGGCTTTGCTCAAAGGGAAATACAAACCTACGCGTTCACGAAAAAAAGCATACATTTTATTTCATGTCACTTGTTTTTGTCTCTAATAATGTGTAAAAAAAGAACCAGGAGACAAATTGTGAAAACAGCGCACGAACGACGGTGCATCGAACAGACGACGGCGCGTCGAGCAGACGACAACATCGAGCGCTCAGCGTCCCCGCCAGCGCGTCGTGCGGCCCGAACCGCCGCACGACTCGCACGCTCCCGCCGAAACTGACGTCACTTCAGGAGAAGGCTACTGCAGCGCCACCAAATTTTCCGCCGTTTTTGCTTCACCCGCACCGCTTGCCGCCGGCCACAGTGGACCCACTCCCCCATTCTAGTACACTCTAGTTGTAAGTGCACCGTAGTGTAGCATGGTTCGGTTCCACAGTTACTACCTGTCCTAACTATATACATATTCCTTTATATCTTACAGTGTCTCGCTACCTATTCCAAAGCGTTGTTCTCTGCTGAGACTGTTGCACATTACTTTAGCTTTATGCATATTAATTTTCAGACCTACTCTTCTGCTTTTTCTGACCAACTCAGTATAATTAGCTGTAGTTCGTCTCCTGAGTAACTCATCAATGCAATGCCGTCAGTGCGCAGGTTACTAAGATACTCTCCATTAACTCTTATCCCTAACTCTTCCCATTCTAGGGCCCTGAAAGCTTCCTGTAAACACGCGGTAAATAGCAGTGGAGAAACCATGCTTCCCTGCCTTACAACCATTTTATTGGGATTCTGTCGCTTTCTTTATGGAGCACTATGGAGGCAGTTGATCCTCTGTAGATTTCTTCCAGTATCTTTACGTAGGGTTCGTCGATGCCCTGATTCCGTAATTCCTGCATTAGTACTGATGTCTCGACTGAGTCAAGCATCTTCTCGTAATCTATAAAAGTTATGTATAGGGGTTGGTTGTATTCGGCGCATTTTTCTATTACCTGATTGATAGTATGAATATGGTCTATTGTGGAAGCCTGTACGAAATCCTGCTGAGTTTATTGGTTGATTGAACTCTAATGTCACCTTAATTCTATTAGCTATTATTTTTGTAAATATTTTGTAGAGAGCAAACAGTAAGATGATCGACCTGTAAATTTACAAGTCCTTGACGTCCCCTTTCTTATGGATCCTATATATCAGAATTCTCAAACACGTGGCTCGTTGACCACATGTGACCCATGGACCTTTCACTAGTGACCCACGGCTCAACACGAAATAAACTTTAGTGACTTAGCTAAATAGTACACGCATTATTTTCTCGCATATTACAAATAATAGCACTTTGATCAGGCTGTGGGGGTGCTATCACCCCTGTAAAGTTGTTTACGCCTCGTGGCACACGTGTACCGCATAGGTCGCATTTCGGATTCAAGACTACTGAGCAGTAGGTGGCGTTGTGTTCGCGAGCATTGATCGCCACTATCATCATCATGGTTAGATCGGCAAAGCCGGCAATGACCTCTGGCGGCAAGCCTTGGTGGCGGCATGAGAGCTTTGAGCGAGTCTTTTTGGCTGGTGGCGTTTCGTGCGAGCGGTTGTCTCTCGCAGTGGGACCCCGGTGCAAGGCATTGCGGGCCGCTTGCCGGGGGCCCTTGTGGTGAGTCAGGCGTTAGCAACACATCATGTTGTTTATCATGTTGTTGAGTGTTGTGTAATATTGTGCAAGGTTGTTTAGCGTGTGGATCACGATTGATGTTATATTAATTTGGTGGACAATCGTCGTTTCTAAAAGTAGTTAAATAAATGAGTGTTTTGTTTTGGTTCGTTCCGACCGTGTCAGCTGCGTTCGTTTACTCCAAGAGCCTGGCGCTCTCTCACCCCATCAAGACCCCATAAGGTAAGCTACAGAGCCGGGACTGGTCTTAAGCATTGCTTTCCATGAGGCACCCTACGCAATCGATATAAGTTGAATCATCACGAAGTGAGAAGTCTACATTTCAAAATCAGTGTCCACATTTGAGTCATCACAGAAACCAACATCTATATGTTTTGTCAAAACGTGACTTAAAATCTCTTCAGAAATGACTCATATAGGTGATATAGAAAAAGCGTTCTCTGTCAAATAACAACATTAGATCACACTTTGTCTGAGCTGACTAAACCCCCACCCCCTGCTCTCACCTTAGTGAATTTCATTACTGCGGTGGCTCGCTAGCTGCAGTAAGCTTCAGACACCTTGAACACCCAGTGTAAAATAAATCAGCTGCTTGTTTGCTCTCAATATGTTTTGTTAAGAAAGGAAAAGAAGACAACCACCCGTTTGTAGCATGGCTTCGTGCTACAAATGGCTGGTTGTCTTCTCTTTCTTTTAACCCTTCCACCACCTTGCGGATTTCCGCAGAACACGTTTGCAATACTTCAATCTGTTTTCGGTTTTTTCTTCCGTGTGGTTTCTTTTATAATTGAGCATAGTTAACAATTGTTTTGCTATCACAAATCAAGCGTTTACAGATACAAGAACTAAGCTATAGAATCAAGAAGCATGCTTGCACAAAGAACTACATCTTTGTGGGACGTTTTAGGCAAAACATAAAGAGGAAAATATTACACATACTTACTTGCAATGTGGTAGCGTTAAGGACATGTTGAGGGGGGCAAGCTGCTTGTTCAGCCAAATGTGTGACCGAATGTAGTCTCCTGCATACAGAAATTTGCATATCGATAATGACTCTATGTACTGCTAAAGCATCAGCTATGGCACTGTGTACAAGCACTGTTTGTAGAAAAAGATGGAGCAGCCTTCATGTGCACAAGCTGTCAAGCTAGTCGTCTCGCTCTATCGCATAAGTGAAAAAGCCTACGAAAAGTCTAACACCTTTACGAGACTATGTCATGCTGGAGCAATATCTTTATGCGTGTGTATGCATGTTACAGAAAGAAATCTAAGCATATTATGCATCTGGCATGTTAAAGGGCCAGTAAACAACCCCAAGGTCCAAAAATGGTTGTAAACAGAAATATGTGCACTTTTACATTGTGAAAACGCTGCCACGAGAATTTCACAAATACGTGCTATATTAAGGAAGTTACAGGGGCTACAACATTGCACTCAGCTAGTTTTGAATTTTCGTGCGGCCTCGCCACCCCTTTCCTTCAGAGGAAGAGGAAGGCGTGGCCCATCCTCGTGACTCCACCCCCTTCGGTAATGTGGCAAGACGTCAGCGATTGATGTCATCGGCGAACTCGATCAGTCACAACGCACTTCCGCTTGCTGCGATGCCTGGCTGTTCCCTGTTTAACCGGTGACGATGCAGACCAGTCGCTAGATTTGCAGCCAACAATGATTTGCGGCAAAACTGCGTTTCGTAACCCGAACATGAAGTTCGCCCGATTTTTCTGGAGTTGAATTTTTTGGGAACAAACTGTCACGCCATCTGGGAGCAGCACTTAAACAGAAATAATGCACTTAATAGCAGGTGTGCTGATCAACAGGTGGCGCAACAATATGCTCACTCCCAAAAACTGCCATCAGTGAAGCATCCCGAGATTGATGCATGGAGCCTATGGGGAGTTTCGCAACTCGTATCATTGAATAGCTTTGCCGTAGCTGCGGGTGGGAACAGAAACTGTCGTCGATTTCACTGCTGTTTGTTGAAGCCTGGTTTAGACCAATGGACAAGCTGCGTGCTGCGTCACGTCGCCGATCGCCGAGTTGTCTTCACTGCATGTGCAAGGAGCATTGGTCAGGCGTAGGAAAGGAGAGCGGGAATTGTTTTTCGAAATGGAGGCTCTGCGCAGCGTGCAGTTCTGTAATATTCAGAAAATGTGATCGCTGTGCTCTACTCTACGAATTACCAAGCTTGTTTGGGGGGTGTAAAAAAAAAAGTCTGAGCCTGTTGATTGCCCCTTTAAAAAAAGATGCTACTAGAAAAAAAGTTTCTCTTTTCCATAGTTTCTCGACCAATAAAATTCTTGGTGCTTACATGGGTTTTTACGCTGCTTTCGAATATGTAATCAGTTTTATATAGTTGCATAGTTTTTGTTTTGTACCACGACAGAGCCTAAAATATAACTATGAATGCGTTTTTTTTTTTGCCACTAAATGTTTATATTCATGGTTATGATCCATTAATCACTCATGTTGCTCCATATTAACTGTATAATTCAAATAGCTACCAAACAAGTTTGTATAAGACTTTTAATGATAAAAAAAATTGTAATGTGAGAAGTCTTAAAATGCTCATCCCATACTAATTGCTTACTTCGAGTTCATAATGATTATATAAGTGACATCGGGTTTCTAAGAAGATAACTGCACTCTTCACATATTAGGAGATATATAGGAAACTTTTCATTCCAATGTGGCTATTAGAAGTACCAAAAACATAATGTCCAAACTAAAGAAGTTGCTTAAAATTGCTACTCGAGAAAAACACATCTTAATTGTAGAAATGAAAGGTCATCTACGTGGAAAAGATATGGTTTTTAATATGATTTCTTTCATCATGAGAGCTTGGGAATCATAGTCATTCAGTTTCTCGACCAAAAAAAATTTTTTTAGACAAAAAACAAATGAGATAAGGATATATTGAAACCTGAATGAACAATATCCTGTGCATACGTTTGGAAAGTTAGAAAGACAACACTCTGTTCTTTAGAAATTTAAGGCATTAGAAATTATGATAAGCTAGACTTCATGTGATTAAGAAGAAGCTTGGAAACTGGCACGCTGTTCAATACAGTTAATGGAAACTATGCAATATTACAAAATGGCATAAAAATGCAGTAAAAAGTCATAATGTGTATACAATATATATACATCAGAGCAGTAAACACAAGGACATAACAGAGAACAACATGTTAGGACAAGCAGTAATAAGGAATTCTGATGATGACAATACGACAAAAAATATACAACAGTCTGCTACTAAAGCAAAACTTTATTGGCACAGAAATGAATTTAGCCCAATATGTCCCAGAGTTATTTATGAAAGTACTATAAGCATTTAACCCTTTCATATGCCAATTATTAAGAAATGTCTAAAGTGTTTCAAATCACTAGATCGTTACTTCAACGTACTCAATATTCTATTGTAACAAAAATAACGAGATAATTGTTGAGTCTATGTGTGTCATAGTAACTCATTCTAATTAAGTTGCAATTAAATATCTATTTATCGTGAAGTCATTGATGCTCAAGTTTGCATAAATAGAATCTAATCTCAGGCTAGAAATATAGTGCAAATTTATTTTTGGTTATGTCAATTGTGAGCAAGGAAAATTTCTGCTTTTCACATTGCTTGCAGAAAGTGGCACATCGCACGACTCGTCAAACGTGGTAGCGCCTTCAGAAAAGTGATCATATATATAAGTACTTCAGCAACAATGAGGTTAAAAGAAGAAAACAGCAATAAGGAATTCTGATGATGACAATACGACAAAAAATATACAACAGTCTGCTACTAAAGCAAAACTTTATTGGCACAGAAATGAATTTAGCCCAATATGTCCCAGAGTTATTTATTAAAGTACTATAAGCATTTAACCCTTTCATATGCCAATTATTAAGAAATGTCTAAAATGTTTCAAATCACTACGTCGTTACTTCAACGTACTCAATATTCTATTGTAACAAAAATAATGAGATAATTGTTGAATCTACGTGTGTCATAGTAACTCATTCTAATTAAGTTGCAATTAAATATCTATTTATCCTGAAGTAATTGATGCTCAATTTTGGCATAAATAGAATCTAATCTCAGGCTAGAAATATAGTGCAAATTTATTTTTGGTTATATCAATTGTGAGAAAGGAAAATTTCTGCTTTTCACATTGCTTGCAGAAAGTGGCACATTGCACGACTCGTCAAACGTGGTAGCGCCTTCAGAAAAGTGATCATATATATCCTGCAGGAGGTTCAATTCATCTAATGTACGATATATCATGCTCTTTCTTAGCCTCTATTTGATGCAAATAACGAAAACGAGTTGGGTACACAAGGGTATACATATCGTCTGAAGGGGTTAAGTTACTTCTTGCTGCCTTAAGAGGGTGCATTGGGAGTATTATTCAATGTGGGAAAAAAATTGTTACATTATGTATTTTTCATCCTTTTCCAACAAACACATTATGCTTTGCACTAAAAAAAGCTACTCATGCATTATTGTTCATGAACTTCTTATGCATCCCTTACGCTACCCAAATATCAAAGTGGTTCACAGGCTTGACAACCTATTCTCGAAACACTTGATTCACTTGGTGGTGTAATTGTGGCTCTTTCTAGGTGTGAATGGTCTAAGGAATGCACCGGCACCGATGTGCTCACTAATCATGTAACATATCCCAAAAACACTTCAGCCAAGGAAAATTACTCTGGCAAAGATTGTACCACAGAAATGAGCAATTGTGTGAGGTATAGTTCACATAAGCAAGCCAGTCTCCCATCAATGACCCAGTAGTATTCGAGGAGGACCCAGAGTTACGGCTGTGAACTAGATCTAGCTTGTGTGTGTGTGTGTTTTTTTCTGTGTGTGTGTGTGTTGCCTATGTTGCTCCGCATTTTCGAGCACGTAACAGGGTCGGAGTTCGAATATTTGTGTGCCATATATACGTCAACGAAAGTATCGGCTAATCTATATAGTTTTGTTTTTATCTTGTTTTCCTGCGACCGCAACACCACACTGATATTAGCATCTTCGCCCCCTTCGCCACTTCTCTCGATTACGCATAAGGGTGTCGATGGAGCACGTATCGAGACCACTCGAAGCAAAAACGCTGTGCTGCGGACGATAATTTGCGACCACCACAAAAACTACCCCCCCCCCCCCCCCCCGCAAGAAAAAACAACAAGCAAACGTGGAGCTTTACACCGATGTCACACGTTCGCTTATCATCGCGATTCGGCCGGACCCTGATAGAATTTGTCGGTCCTGATTGCTTCCTACAAAAACTACAAACGAGGACAATCACTGTTGAGAAACTTGATTCCTAATCGAACTTCATCGCGATTAAGAGTGCACCGCCGTTAATGGAAGTGAAAAACAAATCGCATGTCGTGCGGTCGCCTTTGACCGCGATCGGTAACTGATCCGGAATGAATGTCACCAATGGTGATTGGCTCCTCTATGCAACCTGTAGAAGCGAGCCAATTACTGTTGAGCAATTCGATACCGATCGGGCTTTATCGTGATCAGTGACGCACAGTACGACACCGGTATAAAAATCGCAGCAAAGCAGAGCTACAGTTAAAAAATATCCCATTAGAATTATTGTCCAAAAAAAAAAAAAAACATTGAGCCTCCTCGCATATTTTAAATCAAGCTCTTAATTAAATGGCACCGAAATAAAGACTCGAAATTAAGAAAAGCACACACAGACTGCCGGAAATCATTTGACGAAATTGGCCCCGAAACGCGCCGCCGCACCACAGCCCGCGACTTTACGAAACCAATTACGTTAAAAGTTCGATTTGCTGCTGCCGGTATTTGCGAGCCACAGCGTATCCGGGCGGACCCGAACAAAAAATACGGCAATTTTACGACGAACATACCACTTGCGAGCTTTACAAGGGCGTGATCGAAGCAGTGGAGCAGGATTTCGCCGCTCTGGCACGATCTAGGAAGGGCGCACACGGACAAACACTGCGGCAGCCGCGCTAGGCTGTCCCCGCGGCTCCTACGAACCGAGCGCATAGGTTT